CACGAGGCACACGGGCGCGGAGCTCTCGAGCTCGCGATGGCTTCCGCGAGCACGCGACGGGCAGACTGCGTGCATAGGCATGCGCGAGCGTGCGTGCGGGCGTGGGCTCGATCGTGCTTGATTCTTCATTTCGCTCTATCTTCTCGCACCGAACTCCGATTCGCCCGAAACTTGGACCAAAATTTTTGTCTGAATGCTCTTCCTCCGGGTATGGTTTGGTTGGAATTTCCAGATTGGACGGCTCGGTCGGCTCGAACGGCTCGTCTCCTCGTGCACGATAAAATGGACCTAATCACACCAAAAACAAAGAGAAAACGCACAAAAAATACGAACAAGCTATACAAGAGCAAGAATATACAAAACACGACAAAGTGGACCGGTCGAGCCTAAAAACGGACCTAAGAACCACAAAATAAAACACATAAAACACAAGAAAATAAGGACAAAAACACAACAAACAACGGCGCGACGCCTGGGGTCTCGTGGTCTATGTCGCAGGACTTTACATTTGGGGCTCGTATATGCTCGTCTGGACACGGAATCTGACTCCGTTTTCTCCTGTGTGATGCCCACGACATCTTCTATTTTATTACGTTGTCCCGACTAATATTTTACCAAATCCTAGTCTCCCAAGACTTCCAACCTGCACACTAATGACAACAAAAAACCGGAAAAATACCAAAAAACACAAGAAAGACTAAAATAAAGCGAACCACGAAATAAACTACATAACGACCTAAAAACCAATTAAAAGACCTAAAATTGGAAAAAAAATAAAGACTAAAAGACAATGAAAAACGCAACAAAAATGAGACAAACAACTGTTAAATTTTCATTCAAAATAAATGGCCAGATTGTTGGGAAAGTAACACATTCTCGCGGTTTATGTCAAGGTGCTCTCTATCGCCATACTTGTTTATCCTCTGTGCAGAGGGCCTTTCGGTAACTTTGAAAAGAGCATAAGCGGACGAAATGTTGAAGGGGTTGAAATTAGCAGGAATGAACCGTCGATCTCTCATCTCCTGTTCGCGGATGATTCTATCATTTTCTCAAAGGCATTTTCATCTGAGGCAACTTCAATTGTCAATATTCTAAATCATTATGAACGAGCATCTGGTCAACAGATAAATCTGGAGAAAACGACTATATCTTTCAGCCCAAATACACCTCAAGTTCGTCAGGTAATTTGGTCCATATTTAGAATTCAACCACCCGAACCTATTGAAACATATCTAGGGTTACCTTCAATGATTGGTTGAGATAAAAAAAGAACTTTTGCTTTGATTCGAGAAAAGATCTAGAAGCTTCTTCATAACTGGAGTCGTAATCTATTCTCTTCCGCAAAATCATGATTAAAGTTGTCGTGCAATCTATCCATATCTATCTTATGAGCATATTCAGGTTACCGAAAGCAATTTGTAATCAAATCGAATAAATTGTTGCTCAATTTTTGTGGGGATTCCATAATGGCGAACAAAAGTTATCATGGCTAAAGTGGAGCAAAATGACTATGTCCAAACATGAGGGTGGGATAGGTTTTCGAGACTTTGTATTGTTTAATCAAGCGATGCTGGGAAAACAGTGTTGCGGGTTATTTCTTCTCTTGACTCTCTTGTGGCCAGCGTTCTTAAAGCAAAGTATTTTCCTTCAAGTTATTTTCTTGAGGCCAGGACAGGGATGGGATCTTCTTTCATTTGGAAAAGCATTCTGTGGGGACATGAGGCATTGCGAGCAGGTTTGAGATGGAGAGTGGGAGTACTTGGTATTGAGCGAGTAAAGGATCTCATTAGGGTGAGTGGTGAAAAATATTTTTGTTTGACATTAGTTCGTATGTTCGAGCAAGCACTTGGAACCACATAAAAGGGAAGATCTTTGTTTATATTATTTCCTAAATTATATTATTTTATATACTCATATATAAGATTGCATGGATCTTATTATGGTATATTTTCTTGTAGAAAATCGGAATAATGTGGAAACAAGGAAGGAGAGGCATGCATGAGTAGAAGATCTTGAAGAGAGAAAAGGAGATCCACACTTGCCATAATTCTACCTTTATTCATGGAAGGAAATCACAAGAAAGAGTCATATTCTTGAAGAAGACTCCACATCGTAGGATGCATAAAAACCCTATTTTGAAGATCGAATAGGGGCTGCTGCTGATGTTCACTTACTCTAGCAATATTCGAGCTACAGTTTATTTTGTATTTTTTGTTTTACACTTTAGTTGTCGGGTTCTTACATGTTCCAGAACTGAAGCTGTTTTGGTTTGTTTTTCTTAGTTTTTCTCAAACACTTTCATATAGTACACTTAGGGATTAAGTGTGAGTAAAAAGTTCACGGGACGTGGATGGAGAAATAGTTGATAAGATCGTGAATAGTTGTGGCTAGAATAGAAGGGAGTTCGAGTCTTGTATGTCCAAACTATGTCGCATTACGATTTATCAATGAAAGAGCTCTTAGGGGAAGTAGGACGCTTCCCTGAAGAGTTGTTTAAATCTTCGGTTTATTGCTTCCGCATTTTACAGTTCCTATTCAAGTTCGTACTATGTTTAGCGCACTCGTGATTAAATACACTTTCAATTGGCACCAGAGCAGTGTTCTTGTTCTAACTATGGGATAAAGATCTTTGGGACTGTGTGTCGGTCACTATGAATCACGATGGGATGTCCGTTTCGCGCCCTCTGTTCCTTGATGGCTCTAATTATGCATACTGGAAATCCATGATGGTGATCTTTATTCGGACTCTAGGAAAAGGTACGTGGCAGGCCGTGGAATCTGGTTGGACGGTACCACTCATGCCAAAAGTTCCTGCTGAATCTAAGGAAGGTGAGTCTTCGGATGGAAAGTCGTCAACTTCGGCTACTCAAGTTCTAGTCGAAAAACTAAGGGGTATTTGGACTAATGATGAAAAACAAACAGAAGAAGCTAATTTTGGAGCTTTATATGCTATCATGTCTGTTGTAGATCCCACTCGTCACAAAATAATCATCCAGTGCAAAACCGCTCAAGAAGCTTGGAGGATCCTGGAAAGACAATTTGAAGGTACAAACGCTGTGAAAACCTCAAAGCTCCAAAGAGTTTCTACCGAACTTGATGAGATCCGCATGTGGGATGATAAAACTATTTATATGTACTATGCCCGCTTCTGTGATTTAGTAAACCAAAGCGCAATACTTGGTGAATCTGTTCCAAAAGCAAGACAAGTACAAAAATTAATGACAACTCTACCAGATAGATTTAGAATTAAGATCACATCATTAGAGAGTTTTCAGAGAATTCAAAACCTTAGCATTGATGATCTTCTCAGTGAACTTTTTACCTTTGAAATAAACCATGGTTTTGACTTGATGAGAGTAAGCAAAGGGAAAGGCTTAGCGTTAAATGCCAAGGTTCGTGCTGCAGTTGCAGAAGAAAAAGAAGAATCAGATGAAGAATCTTTTGATGCCGATGAGATCACGAAGGCCCTCACTGTACTCACCAAGAATGTCTCAAAACTGAAGAAATTCCATAAGAAAATGTTCCAAGGAAATAAGCCCTTTGAAGGTGGTAGGAACCTGATTCAGAAGATTGGAGGAAAGCGTTCCGACATGCAACTGAACAAGTTTCAGAATGCGAACCAAGGAGTTGAAAAAGACCAGTGTCGTGAATGCAAAGGATTTGGTCATCTTCAAAAGGAGTGTCCAAACTTCAAGAAAAAGAATAGAACATACAAGGCTACGTGGTCCGACTACAATGATGATAAGGATGAAGAATCAGAGAAGATTGAGTATTCTCACTATTCTAATGACTCTGCTAAATGTCTTCTTAATGAATATAACTACTTTACTTCTTCTGTTAATCTCACTGATGTTGAATCTGATGCAGGTTCTTACGCGAATAATTTGAGGGATGCTGAATCTGATGAATTTCTGACCCAGCTGCTGAGAATTTTGTGCTTCACAAGTATGCCATAGAGAAGTGAAGGCAGCTGAAATCATCAAGAAGTACCAAAATCAAAAAAGGGAAAATGAAGCTCATGGAGCATCGGTCTACTGAACATGAGAAGGAGATTATCTATCTGAAGGATGAACTTCAAAAGATGAGAGTGATGACAGTTGATCTGAACGAGAAGCTCATCAAATCAGACCTTCATATTGGGAAGCAAGACAAGAATCTTAATAGGTGCTTCGCAAAGCTCGCATTGGTAGAACATGGGGACAAACTCAACAAACATGCAAGTGATGAACAAAATTTTACTATTGAATCCTTGCGTAATGAGTTGTTTGTTGTGCAGAACCTTGTAGGTGAAAGAGAAGTTGAGATAGCTGTTCTCAAAAAGTAACTCGGTCGTGTGATGGAAGAACATGTGTCACTTCGAGGTCATTTCTCTACCTTGGAAGAAAAGCACAGCAAGAGTGAGGAAATTGTCAAACTGATCAACAAGCCAAAATCCTCATTCACTGAAGTTCAAAGATTGAGTCAGCAGATTGGTTCCTCTAACCAGAGTAAGAACTCCCACAACTAGAAACTGAAAGGCAAGGTTGGTGAACCAAGCACCTCATAGAGTAAGTCTAATCTGACCTTTGTCAAAGAAGGCTATTCAATTGACGCCAAGAATGATAAGCCAAATCCTCCTAAAGCTCAGCACAAAAATTCTGGTAAGAACTTTGTACCCGTGTGTCACTACCAATGTTATGAAAACCGGACCGGTCATCGAACCGGTCAAGCTACTGGTTCAATGGTTCACTGGTCCGACCAGCGGTTGAACCGGTTGGACCGTTATTTAATTTATTGATATTTTTAAATATATATAATATTTCATAAATTTAGTTAAAATTATTAAGTTATTTAATTTATTGATATTTTAATATATATAATATTTTATAAATATGAAATATAGTTAACTTATTTTTTAAAAGATTGATCCAACAATATATAGATTAAGTAATAAAATAACAGTGATTGAAACTTATCTTATTCTTCTAGTGATTGTTCTGGTTCATTTATTTTTTAAATTAATTCAAGCTTTTTGCAATTTTTTTGTGCTTATTGATATTTTACATGATTCAATATAATTTATCTGTAACTTGGATACGAAAGAAAGACTATTGATAATTTGATATTAATCAACCACTTGTTCTATAATTGATGATTAATTAATATAACAAATATGGAAAAAGAAGTTTCCTGCCACCCCCATAGCAATTAATTGAAATTCTTACTGTCAATTTGAACCTCCCAATCCCCTAGTCCCATGCGCATTAACTGAAATTTTTACTACCAATGTCCCACATCGGTTAACTTAAAGGTTATACCTCTTAATTGCTTTATAAATTCTGTTAGTATTTGTATGTTAGATTAAAAGAAAAACTTGCCCGGTTGAACCAGCCGGTTTATAACCGATTTTGTCCGGTTTTGACTGGTTGAATCGGTCATTGACCGGTTTTATTGACAGTCGGTTATTTTTAGGGACCGGACCAGTGAACTTGCCGGTTCTCGGTTCAACCGGTCGGACCGGCCGGTCCGGTCCGGTTTTCAAAACTATAGTCACTACTGTGGGATTCGCGGTCATATTTGTCCCAAGTGTTATAGAATGCATAATGATATTTACACTGGTCGAATTAATGACTGGAGTCCTCATGATGTTCCTTTGAAAGCACCTAGACTGAAGGTAGATTTAGTAAATCATAAACAGAAAAAGATTTGGGTTCCCAAGGGAAGTAAGAACATCTATTTGTCTACTATACTTGCTATGAAATCCACGTCTAATTTTGACTGGTACTTTGATAGTGGCTGTTCTCGTCATATGACAGGTTTGAGGTCTAACTTAACAAATATCATGCATGTTCCTTCTAGTACAGTAACCTTTGGTGATGGTGCTAAGAATAAGGTTCTTGAAATAGGATGTTTGAACGTACCTGGCTTGCCCAAACTTCAAAATGTCCTTCTGGATCAAAATTTGAAAGCCAATCTTCTGAGTATAAGTTAATTATGTGATCACGGTCTATATGTGAATTTTACTAAGTCAGAGTGTCATGTGTCTGATGAAGAAAACAAACATGTTCTTACTGGTACTAGGTCCAGGGATAATTGTTATCTAGTAGAACTTGATCTTAAGTGCAATAAGACCTGTGTAACACGATTGAACTCTAGCAGAAGAAGTTAGGCCATATAAACTATCCTCACTTACTATAACTTTCTTCTACAGGTGTTGTTTGAGGATTGCCCAAGCTGAAGAAGGAAGAACCTCGCGTTTGCGGTTTTTGTCAAATGGGCAAATAGAAAAGGGCCTCGCACAAGAGGCTGACTGAGGTTAGGACGAACAACATCAGGAATTGATGCACATGGACTTGATGGGGCCAATCCAGGTTGAAAGTTACAGTGGTAAGAAGTATATACTTGTCTGTGTGGATGATTTCTCTAGATTTCCTTGGGTTGATTTCTTAAAAGATAAATCTGATGCACTTGAAGTTTTTAAGAAACTTGTGTTAAAACTTGAGAATAAAAAACGGACTAATCTTATTTCCATCAGAAGTGATCATGGTAAGGAATTTAAAAATCGTGGTTTTGAGTTATTTTGTGAATCTCGTGGCATATTTCACCAGTTTTCTTCCCCAATCACTCCACAACAGAATGGAGTTGTTGAGCGTAAGAACAAGACTCTTCAGAAGATGGCAAGAGTGATGCTTGCATCACTGGGTATGTCCTTCAGATGGTGGGCCGAGGCAATCAACACGGCGTGTTATATAACTAGCCGTGTGTATTGCAGGAAAGGAACTGGGTTGACTTCGTATGAAATGTGGAAAAGTAAAGCACCAAATGTGAAATATTTCATGTCTTTGGATGTCGGTGGTATATCTACAATGACAGAGAACATCTTGGTAAGTTTGAATCCAAAAGTGATGTTGGTCAATATCTTGGATATTCTACTAACAGCCGTGCATATCGTGTTTATCAAAAATCGAGATCCTTTTCTCCAGAAATAACCGAAGCATCTTTCCGATTTGGACTTCGATTTGCATTAGATTCAGGTTTTATGCTTCAAACCGCCAAAACTGACACTGCTTCTATCATTTTTGGTATCTCATACCAACATTCTAATAATCCCTTGCACAATGTCTTCTCTGATATAGTCGATCTGTTGAGGTTGTTAAATTGTGGGAATTGTAGTCATGTTAGTCGTGAGCACAATGTTATAGCTCATAATTTAGCTAAATGGGTTATTCTATCGACGAGATCCTTCTTGTGGAAGGATTGTCTCTCGTCTTTTATAGCTCTTTTTTTTCAAACTGTATTGTTGAACGGTTGATTGAATGATATCATGTTATTATCCAGAAAAAAAAAACTCTCCTCCCGTAAGCCCTAATCCCAATATCCCGCCGCGTCTTTCTCCAATGTTTTTGTCGATTGGCCTTCTCCGGTGACAGCGGGCCACTGGCCAGGGTGCGTCCTGGACTGCTCACTCCTCTCGGACGAAGTGCGTCTCTAATGTCGCGATGGAAGGGTTTCGATTGACGGTCCGATTCGAGTTCTCCGGCGGTGTTCCAGTCGATGGTGACCTCCTTCAGGGCGGGTGTTTGGCCGGCGCCGGGAGTCTTCCTCTTGGTCGACGGTGGAGTTTCGTTTTGTGAAGGTATGGCCTCTGTCTGCGCTTTGCCGGTTTTTTCTTGGATTCAGTCATTTTTGGCAGGGCTCTGCCTACTTTGGGTGGTGGGGTCTGGACCTCCGATTGGGCCCCTTACGGTGGTGTTGGGCGGCGTGCGAGCTCTCGGAAGGGTGGGGCTCCGGTCGCTGCTTCTTTTCATTGGTGGTGGTCGGGGTTAAGGGGCAGACCCACCTTCACCCTCCCCTGGCGGCTAGTGGTGTTAGGCGGTGGGGGTACCTGAGTTCGACTAGTGGTGTTAGACGGACTCGGCTGGTCCGGTGTGGGGGCTGGTCGATTCTCTTTCAGTTGAAGATGGGTCGATTTGGGGATTGGTTTGGGCTCAGTCTCAGCTACTTGTATAGGCGTTCGCGCAGTTTGGTAGTTGATTCTCTGGCTAGGAATCTCTCTTGTGTCGATCGTTCACTCCTGGTTCGGGCATGCTCGTTCGTTGGGGAAGGGCTTCTAGTTTTATTTTAGTTTATTTGTGTTTTTGTTTCTTGTGTTTTTGGTTATGTATCCGCTATTGTGTTGCGAGTGTCTTCTATTTTTGGTTTGGGTCGTTGACCCCTGTGAGTCCGAGTGTCACTCTGTACGCCCGAGTGTCACCTTATTACCCTGTTTGGATCCGACACTCGAGTATTACTCCGTTGGGGTCCGACACTCGGGTAGTTGTTTTAGTTGCTTGTTTTGTTGGTTAGTTTAATTGTGAGTGTTTTTTATTCTAGCGCGTTGCTAGCCGAGATTCTAGGCGGTCTTTTAACCTGTCATTCCACTTTTTCAGCTATTAGCTGTTGTGTATTCGCACATTTGTGCATTTTGATTTATAAGAAAAAAAATCACACGTTAAGAATTCTGTATATGAAGGAATCAAATAAGAACGCTATATTGTCTGATGGATTAGTTCTAAAAACATGACGCATGTAAACTCTTAGATTGGAGAATTATGTATGGTCTGATGGATTACCTCACATGGTCATATTTATCTCCAACACATTTTATCAATTTATATATTTTCACACAAAAGTTTTATATTACACGGTACAAGATTACAATCTTTCGTCACATAGTCATATTTTTATATCTAACACTGATATAGGATATTATATACACCGAGTTAGATCGGTCTGTTGAACCGGATGGAGGAGTCACACCATGAAGGAATCGAGTCAGGCAATGGGAAGATCGAGCAAAACAACTTGTCGACCAGGCAAATAGTCGACCAATCTATCGCTCGACCAAACAAACGATCGAGCAAGACCTCAGCACGTCGAGCATCTCGCGGACTCAACACTCAACAGATCGGCCTAGTCACAGGCGCGTGTAAGAGCCTCCAACCGAATTCCAGGAGAATATTTACCCCATGTGTAGGAGGACACGTGTCGATTATATATTGGGTGATAGCTATAACCACCTCTGACAGCTCCCAACGCCTTGCGCCACCTCTGACATGTGCGCGGCGTGTCAGAGTACGGACGGGCAGCTTGGGCGGCCAGCTCATCTTTATCAGGGCAGCTATTAGGGCAGGTATCTCACCCCTATATAAAGGGGGTGAGCCTTTCTCCCTTAGGACGATTTTCCATTATTCAACTCCAGTATACTCATACACATACTGACTTAAGCATCGGAGGCTCTTCACTAGA